ATATATTTATTAAATATTTATAAGACTAATGAATATATTTATTGTATCCTAAATCGTTTTATTACCAAATAGTTACTTAAAAACAAAATCATCTTATATAAAAATTATCTAGATAAAAATTTTTTTAATTTCATCTTTTATCTAGATTAATATAAAATGAATTATCTTCATCTCATCTAAAATACATTTTTGTGTCATTTATCTTATCTATATCTAGATAATTTTGAATTGTCTAAACGCAAAACTGTATACATACACATATTTATATGTATGCTATGTTTTATGTATCTAAAATTCAACTTTTATGACATACTAATTTTTTAAATCTGAATATTTAAAATTATTACAAGTCTCTCTTAAGTATCAATTTTTCCAACTACTTCAAACCATTGGCGTAAAGCATCGCTCAGAACACCTGGTAATGTGTTTATATCTCTAAGAATCATGTAGAAAGGAAAAGGGAAATTATCCATATATGATCGAATTCCTAATAATTTTCCTTTTTCAAACACAGGCATACGGATATCCAATATTGAATCCTGAAATGAATAGATAGGCCATAAATAATAACTTTTACACGTTTTTAATAGCACCTAAATAGAACTATTATCGCGATAATTATTAACTTAGTCTTGGTTATTCCATCTTTCGATATAAATTTCAATTCTCTAATTCTCTAATGCTCGTAGGTCCGGTTGTATCAACATTATGTTGAACTTGAAGCGAGGCTTAAAACTCTATCTCTCGTTCTCTCTCGGCTTTGAAGAAAGTATTTTAAATTTCGCTTAAAATCAAGCTAACGTTGGTGCACACAATCGGGTCTTACACATTTACTCTTGTTTATTCATTAGATAAATTATCACATAGTTTGTCTGAAGATAGAACAATCGATCCATCATTTTTAAATATGATTAAGAATTACCTTGTTAATTGGATTGTCGACTATTATAAATACTAGGAAAATATCTACAAGCCTGGCTCTCCTGACAGCACAATTCACTTTTTCTTTTCCTTCTGAAAATATTCCTCTACCATCCGATAATACTACCAACAGTTTAGCATTATCGGATGAAGCACATTGACTTTCGAACATATCTACCGTAAAATCAACTAATTGTCCAATCATCGTCTTTTTTTGATCAAATTTCATTTCTTGTATTAGCCTGTGAATAGAAAAGAAACCTTAAATAATATGTAAAATTCCAATATTAAATATTAAAATTCCAATTGTCGTATTATTGAATAAAATTAAATAGGATTATTCTACGTAAAACAAAATTGAACAGTTGTGACTAACAAGTTTGAATGGGTAAAGTAGTGACTACAATTAATATCATTCATCTAATTTTATCTTTTGATTCATAAATGTATATTCAAAACTTGTATTTAATTAAATATTAAATATTTATAGGGATTATATAAAGGTAAAAATACCTAGAGCCACTTTGTTCTGTGAAAGCTTCTTCTAAAGGATGCAATACTTTCACTTGCTCCCCGAAGCTTAGGACGCTAAGTTGTCCCACTTCAAGATATGTCATAGCCTTGCTAATCAGCGACAAGGATTCAAAAGCCAATTCTTTCGAATGATTATCTGCCATGCTGCTGGAATCGTCTAATGCGAGGACGATCTGATAGTCACGTTTTGAGGGTTTCGTGCGTCTGAGCCAGATTTTATCCTTGCGAAATTGACTAGCTATATAAGGAATGATTTTTCGCATATTGATGCGTTTGCCTGTTTTATAATCACCCTTTAATCTTGATGCTTGCGTGGGCTCCAACACTAATCTTAATTTTTCAGACAAATCCCTGGCAGCTGCATCCGTAACTGAACACAAACAATTCCATGCAGCTGTAGCTTCCTCCGTGGAGGGCACTTGCGTCCATTCACCCAACATTCTTTCCATTTCAAATCGCTTTCTTTCTACATGATCGGAGCTAAGATCATTTTCTTCGATGTTCCATTCCATTGTATGAAATGTAGATTCGTTTCCTCTCTCCACTTTCATCGTCTCCGCCGTTTCTCCTTCTAATTCGACCGTTGTCTCCGTTTGATTGTTCTCCATGTTTCTTTTACCATCGGAATTTTTTTTGCATTGGTTATCTGTAATTTCAGAGACCTTTTCGGGTTTGTGCTCGTTTACTTTATCATCTGTCACATCGTTTTCCTTATCTTCATGCATTTCTACATCCATAGTGTCGTCCTTTGTCTCTTCCTCATTCTTAAGCGGGGAGCACAGACTTTTGCATAACGCATAAACCATATACATAAAGAATTTGATTGGTCCACTGACTCATGCATAAGAAAATGGACCAATGAAATTCCTTATGCACATGCTTTATGCGTTATGTAAAAGTCTGTGCTCCCCGCTTTATCCTCATCCATGTTAGAAGCTTGTTGTCTAACCTGATCTTCCGTTGCGGCGTCGAGCGTATAATCGTCGAATTTTTCAAAATCCTTAATGTGTTGAGCCATCTCAGCCTTATTGCCATCAGTATTATTTGCATCATCTTCGTTTTCATCCCTCGATACTTCGTCTTGCGTGTAGGTTGTCTTTAATTTCTTTAGTGTCGACTCAAATCTGTTCAACAGACTACGATCCTCGTTACTCTCACCCGGATTATTTCTCTTCTCGATTGGTTTTGTCATAGCGTTGCTTTGCGGTGCCGAAACAGTTTCCTGCTTAGATGATCCTGAATGCCCGCTTTCCTGTTGTGCTGATTGTGATTGGCCTGTGCCTTTATCAATATTGTCTTCTTGAGTATTTTCAAATGAAGTTTCCTGTTGATCTTTCGCGTCCGATTGTTGCGCTACTTTATCACGTGAACCTTCCGTCGTTTCTTCAGTTTGTTGCGCAGCATCCATTTCTTTGCTCGCATCATTTGCACTCGGCGCTGCCTTTTCTTGTAGTTGTTCTTCCTCCGCTTCTTTATCCTGATTCTGTTCCTCGTCTTTGTTCTCAGCTTCTGCATTCTCATCACTTTTTTCTTCAGTTTCTTCACTAGTTTCAAGCTCTTCTGTCTTGTGTGCCTGATTTTCCTTACCGGTATTATTGTTGTCGTCCTCGTCCTCGCTAGAATTCTCCTCAGAATCATTTTCTTTAATCTCCTCAGATTCTTTCTCAAGCTTTATATCTTGCTTTTCTGGTGGCGGTTTCTTCATCTCATCAATGTCAAATGGATTTTCATCATCGCCACCGTTGTCTTCCTTACCGTCTTCATCCAAATTCATGTCTTCTGGTAAATCGAGTGGTTCGGGTTCCGGTTGAGGTTGAAATTTACCGTGATAAGGATTAATATGATCCTCATCTATTTTTGGTTCATCCAACTCATTAATCTCCTTTTTATTTTTCTCTTGATTTTCATCGTGATCCATATCGTCGTCATCATTCTGTTTTCTCTTACCATTATCATCTCTCGCGCCCATTTCTTTTTCACCGATTTGTTCGCCTGTACCTTCCTCTTCACTCTCGTTTTCCGACTGCTGATTGTCCTCTTCGGATTCTTCTTGATCATCGCCCCAGATTTCTTTATCAAGCTGCTCAGCACCTTTTTCAGTTTCTCCCATTTCTTTATCCAAGTCGTTTTCTTCATCATCATCATCATCACTCTGCTCTTCATCATTCTTCTTCATATCCTGAAGCTCGTTGTCGAAATTCTCAGACATGTCGATTCCCTTCTCCTCTTCCTTACAAGCCTTATCATCTTGTTTCTCTTGTTCTTGGTCCGCGGGTCTTGCATCCTCAAGTTGATCTTCGGATTCTATTCTATCGGAAACGTCTTTCGTTCCTTCACCATCGGCTAAACCCATCCCGCCTTTTTCTGTCTTTTCTTCCGACTCGTTCATTTCGCTTTCCTCGAGATCTAAATCTTTTGGTACACAGAACCCATTTGCAGCCAAATCTAAGAATACGTTTAATTGCAGGTACAGTATTTTACACGTGATACGGAATGACGCCACCTGCTCGTTTAAATAAAATTGAACGAGCAAGATATATTGTTCCAACAGAGGTAAACACTTTAGGAGCAACCTGGAAGAAATAATAATAGATATTTGTTATTACATTTTTTAAAGGCCATCACAATGTAACAACATAACTAATACGAATACGAAGCCTATAACAATTTAGAAAGATTACATATATCAGTATATCAATTCGTGAAATTATACATAAGCAACCAAGATCCAGCTAGACTGTTATAACCTTCGTATTCGTATTAGTGATATTTATTAATTTTGTGAAATTTATAGCTTCTATTTCACGTGTTAGCAAAATTTTATTAACATTTTTATTTAACGGAAAAATAATATGCTTAATATAAAGTATTGGATATTTCTGTCAACAAAAAGAATTATCAATATTAAATAGAATTACTGTTACCTGATACAATGATTTGCTGATTGCAGATCGTCAAATTCGTGTATTAGTAGCAAAAGGTTGGAAAATAAACTGTATATATCAGACAGCTTTAGCTCCTTTATATCTCGTTCAAGCAATTTCACATTTAATTTTTCTTTTGCTTCCTTCTCTATGTTGACATCATTCATCTCATTCGGTTCTTTATTTATATACAATATATCTTCCTTGATATCTTTAAATTTTTCCTGTATTACAAGCAATATCATATTTATTAAATTTTTTAGATTTAATTCATAACGTTTGATAGTATGATTTTCTTTTTGCAATTGTTCTCCATTTTCAATATCTGTGGATGCTCGCAATTTTTCGAATAGCATGCTATTATTCTGAAGGAAGTGTTCCATCTTTGTATCTAAGAACGCTATATTTTCCCAAATAGGATGCACAACATCCACACTTTTAAATAATAGTTTTATATGCTTAAATTCCGTCTCTCTTAAGTTTTTGATTGTCGTACAGCATTGCTTCAAGAATTCAAAGTGCTTTGAACTTACAAATGAATTATGAATATCTATCGACAAGACTTCAAATGGCATAAATAATGAGTGGAAACGTTTCGCAGTAGATTTTACTAAATTTAAATTCTCCTTCAGTACACGGTTCGCGTTCTTCCAAATCTCATCATTTTGAGAGGCGGCAATTATAGGAAGCGCATTTGCGTCTAACGTAAGCGTGGCTCCGTTCGGATCACTCGATGATTCCGCAGGACAGCATCGCAGAAACAGCAGCAGCTGTTCAAATCCAATTTCTAACGTAATCAGCAACGTCTTCAAGTTTTCCGCGAGTTTCTTGATCGAGTAGTTAACGTTTCTGTTCTGTCTTAGCATATTCGGATCTTGCTCGCGTGCTTCGGACAAATTTAAAATCTGTGCGCGAAGTGATGAGAAACGATCGAATGACTGAACGATTGTCATCTTCTGTTTGTGGGCTATCAGCATCAAATGCGCGGAATGTCCTCGGCAACGTTCTATATTCTTCTGTCCCAGGTCAGTCGTCCGATTTGTGTCGAGCATCGCATTGAGAGCGTTTAATCTGATAAGAGATTTATAATAATATTTCTCGCAACCTTCCCAATGCGCCAGCATATACTCATCGACTTTTTTCGCTTCAAAATACTGACGGATTGTGGAAAGATCCAAAGGTGATACTGTGAAATCTATTACTTCGTCCGCATTATTATTCAATGTCTGTGTACCAGTGCGATAGTTTATGCCCATTTGATACAAATCCTTGAAGTAATTAGCGAGCATCATTTTCTTCTGCTGCAAAATGCTCTTTGCCTGAGACTTCTGCTTATTCTTCGGTAGACTTCTATCGATGTTCTTTTCCCGAAGACGCACACTCTGCTCCATGTAGCTTTCGATGAAATCTTCGAGTTTTCTTCGTACACTCGGATAAGAATTTCTCCGGATTATTTCCTCGCATCGACAAGGAGCCTTTCTGGCCTTCTTTAGTAATGTATTTAGTTCACTTATAAACTGTGCTTTCACGTCTACAGATTGCAAAGATTTTGTTACGATAAAATCTTTAGGACTGACTATGTGCTTATGATGTTCCTCATCATCCCAGATGCCTTTACCCATCTCTGTACTGTAAGATCCCGACTTAACAATCAAGCAAGTTGACACGGTCTGCTTTAGGGCATTCTGGAACTCTTTTACCAATTTATGTAGAGTTCGATGCGTCTTCTCAACTGTTTCCTTCACAGCCCAATAATTATTGTCGTTCCATCGCGCAATTTTAACAAAGTCCTTTAACTTCTTCTCAATAGGCGCTTTCAAAACGTCGATTCTTGCTTTCACATCATCTACGAATTGTTTGTAATAATTGTACACGTTCCACAATATAGCTAAAAGTTCATTCTTGTTGTCACTGTCGTCGAAGTAATATACATGACAGTGGAACGTCAAGAGAAGATCCAAGCGCGATTCGAATTCGACGAGGCATGACTGATTCATGAAATGCTCTAGCGATTCTACCAACTTATGCTTGGTGATAGGCTCATCGTTTGTTTCCTGAACATTATCTTTTTCAGATCTCATAATGTAACTCTCAATCAGCGCATACAAGAAGAACCACCATTTTGACGTATCCGATCTGAGATTTTCGTATGTTGCATCGAGACAATCCTTCCAACAGGACAACTCCAGATTTCTCCAGCATATTATTTGTTGCATTAATTTTAACACATAGTCCGTCATGCTGACGCCACTGTGCGCGTTCTCCTCCCATTGATGTATCTTGACAAGCAGTAATTCCAAACCTGTCAGGAATCTGGAAACAGGTGAAGTGATCGAGAATGTGTAGATCCTTTCTATTATATTTTGTATCGATTTCAGAGTGGAATGTTCTGGCCATTCCTGTAGCAGATTATTAACACGATTTAGAATATTCTCGCACAACGGTAGGCATTGTCTTACTTCCTCAACTTTGCAGTCCTTGTAAAAATCGTACGCTCTCTTTCGTCCTTTGGATTCGTCTTTTGTATTTTCTCGCAAAATCTGATCCGCGCTTTTCTCTTGACTCGCTTGCAGTCCCAAAGTAGTCAAAAAGTTCAAACTGTTATATAGTTTGATAGCGAGTCCTTCGCTCAAACTCGGCAATATGTTATCGAGCATCCCGTATACCATGTTGTATCTTTGAATCAGAGACTCGATGTAATTCGTTGAACTTGTCAAAGTAGAACTATTGCATATCCACTTGGTTGCGATGAAGGACGTGACGATGTTTGAGTGGGTCTGTTGGATCTCTCTGATGTCGTCCTTGGTGATAAGACCGCTAAAATTTGATTCTGTTTTGTCCAATTGAGTCGGTGTCTTCTCGGTGAAAGAGAGTTGCGACTCGTTCTCTATGTCGTTAAAGTCCTTTTCACGATATGATGGAAATAGCTTGCGAACTTCCAGAGCAAGCTCTTCTTCCTCCGTCAACGTATCGTTGTGGCTCTCAATTTTATTCTTGTATAAACTATCTTTCTCTGCGGCTCGTTTCTCTTCCTCCAGTTGTTGTTGTTTCCAAATCAGAACTATTTGCTGTAATAGTTCATTCATGTCTCGCCATAGTGACTTAGTCAGACCTCTATTAAGAATCACGTGATTGTGCAATTCATGTAAACCTAATTTGAATATACGGAACTGCTCTTGCATCCTGACAAACGTGTCTGTAGAACACGAACCAATTAGACTCTTCATGTCCGTGGAAACACATAAACCACTTAGATTCAAAAGATTCTCCTGCTGCCAACCGATTGTCGGGAATCGGATCAAGTTGTATATGAAAGATTCGAGATCGGTTACTCTGCTTTTACGCAGAGATATCAGTCGTCGGATCTCGTTGATCAGTATGAAAACGCCATGACTTAACTGAGCTAACGCCGTCAACAGCGGAAGAACCACATCTGGATAAGCTGGTAAGTATTTTGTTTTGATCTTCTCGGCGAATAGTTGCACTGATAAGCCCCAGGTTTCCGCTTCCGAAACGGTCTTCGTCAGATCAGTTGATTCACAGTCTCGACTGATGTTGTCTGCGATCATATACAGGTTCATGTGTTTTTTCACTAAAGTGTAAGAACCTACTCGTTTCCTGAAATCAGCGCAATCCTTGCTGAGCGAGGCGAAGTTGGCAGATGCCGGCCTAAACGCTCTCAGACAATTGAGATCATCCCTCGTCTTCAGCAAGCGCTTCTCACAATCTCTCATGGCTACAAATCTCGGATGCTCGTTCGCCGCTGAAATTCCTAGAATACGATCTTGCAACATTGTAACGTATATCGTTTTTCTGAAATCGGCGATGTCTTCCTCCAGATACTCGAGCTTCAATTCCACTTTATGTACGGGATCGATAAGTTCTAAATTTCCAAAGAGCATTAATTGTATATAACCGAGTATCATCCACCCTTTCCCTCGTCGAAGCGTTTTAGAAAAACTTTCTTCTTCATTCTCGTCATCGATGCTACTTTTATATGCTTTACGCAATTCTTTGACCGACTCGTAATAATCGCTTAGTTTGGATTTAATATGTGTGAAATTCTCATCTTGTTTTTCCATTGAAATCAAGTCTTGTATGTCACGCTCCATTTTGTCAATCGTGGACGAATACAAATGCAAGTAAAATTTTAATGTTGCCAAATCGTTACTGCTTGAATCGCATCGTTTATTTGTTAACGAGATACTATTTTTCCACAAAATGTCATTTAATAACTGCAGCTGATTCACTTGCTCCTTATATGTTCCGAGTGCAACTGCAGGAAGAACATTTTTTTCTTTCTCTCGATTTGTTTTGTTTAACATTAGTTGCAATACTAGGTTCAAGAGAACGGGTCCGCCGACATGGCATTCAATCTACAAATATATATAAATAAATCATAACGTGATATATTTTTAAAAGAGAAAAATTTGAGTGCTAAAAATTAAATATTAGTAATTTCTTTTTATAATAACAAATATAATAGAAAGTATATAAAGAAAAACCGGTCTAAATCGAGCGATAATAAAATATTTTTATAAAATAAATTTCTGGTTCACAATGTTAATACAATATAAAAATAAAAAATATAAAATAAATACAAAAATAATATCGAACGTTTCGGAACTCACGGGTCACGGGAAGGACCTGTGAGTTCCGAAACGTTCGATATTATATTTTTATACTTTAAATAATATTGTAAATTTATTAATTAAAAAATCTTATTACCGCTCGATTTAGACTGTTTTTTCTTTATACTTTGCATTGCAAAAAACAAGCGAAATCTAATTAAAAACATAAAACCTAAATATTTTTCCAAATCGACAATTGTCTAATAAAATAAAATCGTGACTTACATTTACATAACATTGTAAACTAGAAATTTATTTTATAAAAAAAATCTTATTACCGTTCAATTTCGAGCGTTTTTTCTTTATACCTTGCATTGCAAAAAATAAGCGAAATCTAATTGAATATAAAAAAATCTTATTTACTAATATTTAACTTTTAGCAGTCACAGACTCGAACTGTTAAATACTAGGAAATATTTCAAACGTAATTTGGATTTTATTCTTTAACATTTTAATTATCTCATTTGAGACTTTTACGGGTATTATCTTCAATTATACTAGAAGGTTTGCGGATTATCGCCGTGTTGCCGTTTATTTTTAAAGCCAAATTTTAATTATCTCTCAAAACATTTTCAAAATCACTCATTTATTACAAGACTAAGACACAAACCTTGGATTCGACATAGGAAGTGATTGATTCCTCTATATCTTCCTCTGTTATACCGCGCCAGTGCAAAAGACGGCTCGTATCTTTAAAAGCGTGAGATCGCTGAATAAATTGTGCGAGGCAGCAGAACAGTTCCGGCAGCAACAATAACTCTACTTTTCGCTCAACTCCAACCATTGCCCTCAATAAACCCATCAAATCGCTCGGTATACTGGTTACATCTTCGAATTTCGCAAGGCATTCGGTCAAAGTGACACTAGAAATCGTTTCTTCCCGACACATTTTTCCCTGTAAAGTACAAGCGAGCGACAGAAACACATACTCATAAATTGGCCACAAACATATTCTCGCATTCGACTGCATCATTTCCCTCTTCGGAAGAGAATGTACTGCAAGATCTCGTAGACTCTTGTCGCAAAATTGCTCTACGTTATGGATATTCTCCAACGTCGTTTCGTCGAATGACTTCCTGGAGTAAACGTCGCGCCATAAAAGGATTATTTCCTTTCTCATCGCTAGTGCGTCTTTCAATTGCACGGATATGATTTTTAGTTTTTGTTTCAGAGTGCTACCTCCTTCGTCCCTCTCATCTAAATCTTTCGTTATTCTCATCAGCTTTGATTGCACTTCCATGTTGACTTCCGTGGAGTGAGGCGATGGAAGTATCAAGAACTTCTTGATTCTCTTCGATATCTTTTTGATAGAATCGTATGGAGATTCCAACTGGTGGTTTATACGGTCCACAATATTCCACAGTTTGCTTTTGCTCATGGTTTTATTGCTCAAGGATTTTAGCTTGCGTAAAAACTTCAATAGCCATTTATAATGCACACTTAACAACAAAGAAATCTGATCCAAATTCGTAAATAGACCCTTAGACTTTCCTGCTTTATCTATAAGTGTCAATTCGCCTAGTCTCTCAAATCTCGAGAACCATCTCAAGTCTTTTCTTAAATCAATGTACTTTTCAATATTTATATCTTGTAAAATTGTTTTAATGTAAAAACTCGCTTGTTCAAGGAACTGTACAAAGAACGTGATGAGCGGTTGGTTTTTTAATTGTGGAAATAGCTTACCTGTAAGTGAAAAATTCTATTAATAGTCTGCTCCATAAAAATCTTGAAAAATAACAAATAAAAGTGATAAAGAATAGATCAAATAAATACTTTTATAAATTAAAAGTATAAAACTGTATTTATAAGGTGTTTCATATATTAAGGAGAATCCATTTTACTATAATAGTTTAGAAATAAAACGTTGTACTATATTTATGATCTAACTTAATTGCACTTTGTAACTTTATTTCCTTAAAAAATAACTAAGCTAGTACATTCTTCACTTCAAGATATGTCGATACAAAATTAAGTTAGATATTACTTATTAGGTTTCACTACTGAAAAAAATAACCTAACCTAACTCATTTTTTGGTGTGAGGTTTAATGAGTGAGATCCGACGGTTAAAATTTCCTCAAAATCACTCAAGATCATGACCTTGACAACATATGTCAAGGTCAAGGTCATTGGGAGTGACTTCTCTAAACTCCATATTTACCCCTTTTAGATATTAATTCATTTATTATAATTTAATCTAGAATATTTACCATTCTTTACAGCGCTACAGTACAGTTTTATGGATATCAAGTCTTTATTTTCCGTTTTCTTTAGTGATATATCTCTGTTTAGAATCATACTGTCCGCATATAGCAACAGTAATAATTTGTTCGTGTCCCTGCCAGTAGTATCGTTATCGCATGTTGTTCTTCCAACAAGCTGCCACAAATCCAAGGGTAATGAGCGTCTCGCGTTTGTTGACTCAGAACAATATTGTGCAATTACTTTCTCCATTAGTTCACTCTTATGTTCAAGATTATCAAATATCGCGTTTCCTCGCAGCATTTTCGAAACCAATTCCTTTCTAAGTGGCGCATCATCTTGCGAAGATTGTTCGTAGAAATTTAAGAGGAGATATGACAATATATCAGTAACGTCTACGTTCAACATAAACTTCTCATCCTCTTTAAGACCGCAAAAGTCGTTCAACGACTTCGTTGTAATAATATTTCTTCCGATATTTCCTGAATCAGACTTTAGCAAGGATTCGTACATCTTGAGAGCAGCGTTCAACAATAAGCCTTGTTGTCTAATTAAAACGAGTCTTGAATTATCTTGCAAATTCTTCACGCTCCATGTGGCGGCATCCAAATCGATCACCGAGATTTCTTCATCGCACGTGACACGTTGCTCAACAATTTCATCGATCAGAGAAGTCAAATGTTCTCTAAACCGCGAATCTCTTAACGGTCTAGGTTTTATATAGACATCAATGCACGCGTTTTTGATCGATTGCTTCGCAGAAAATCCACGTAGCAATCGTTGCTTCACCAAGAACGCGGTGTGCAACAAATCGACCATATTGAATTGATCCCAGACAATTTCTTCCGACATTCTGTCGTAGATGTCAAGTAATGCATCTCGATGCGCTGATTTCATAATACCGGCGTTAAACAACAGTGAATTGAAATCAATTAGATTCTTGTCGATGTTCTCCTTCGAGCCAAGCATATAAATCTCAACGCCTCTATTACGCATGGCCCTAAAATCATCGTGATTTGTATTATGCGATAATTATTGCGTAAATTATGCTATTACGATATAATTAGTACAATTTTCGAAATACGGAATTCGCGTAAAATGATGTAAATTAAATCTTCATCATGATTGTACGTTGAATGTACCTAACGCTATCATTGAATATTTTTTAAATGTTCTATTATAATATAAAGTTATTTTGTAATTTTTTATTTCCATCTATGCTAGATAAATATATTAAAAACATGGAAGAATTTATGATCAATATTTTTGGAATAAAGTAATAATTTAATTTTACGTATGAGTGATTATAATAAGATTATATAATTAAATTATTGATTTACTGATATCAAGAGTTAAATTACCTGGAGATTTCACCGTATCGGGGATTCATAGTTAGAAATAGGCGAAAATTTTTATGTGGCTTGATTGTAACGACATTTCCATTGCTGTCAATGCCTCGTTCGCCAATACTGAGAACACCATTTGGCTCTAATAATCCATTAAGTCTATCTAATACAGCCGGGCTACATAGATTAACTTGATCGATGAGTAGCCAAGTACCATCTTGCAAGCACTAAAAGTTGATTCTATTATTATATTGTTTCGAATAAAATAAAGTTACATCTTTATTTAATGGCTTCGCTGATTTAAAAAAGTAGAATTTTATAATATTAGTCTATCATATAATGGCAATATAACTTTTTCGGATGCAGATGAAAATTATAATTTCGCTATATATATATAAAACGTTAAATAATTCATTTAAAATATTTTAGTATATTGCCGAATTTCAGAATAATCACATAAATATTTACGTTTCATTTGACACCTAATATAACAATAAAAAAAATATAAGATAAAAATATAATAAAAAAAATAACAGTACAAATTGGATGTAAAAGCGTATTTTTTATTCGTTTCGATAGCTGTCAAACCGTATGTTTCTTGCCGAATATAGGCTCATTTTATGAGTCTTTTACGACCATTTACTGATACTATCAAGGAAGCAAAGTATAGTTTCTACCAATTTTCTTATAAATATTGTAAAGCGATCTTATCATTAAGATTTATCCAACTTGTTTTTATTGAAAAATGGAACGCAACAAAGATGAACATGTCATTCTCGCTTATAACGTCACGATTCTAACAGGGCCGCCGCGACTACTCAGGAACCTTAAAACTTCTGCAATATTTACATTATTATGTGTCAAGGCTAATAGTAAAAATTTGGACTTTAAAGGATAAATATTAATAAAAGGGGAGATCCAGCCCCAATGATTTTGATCTTATTTACCGAAATAACGTATTAAAGTAAGTTCGAAAGTTACAAACTATGGAAAATAAATTTAAAGGAACACTGTCAAAATATTTCCTATATGTACTATAGTACCATATACAGTAATGTCCCTGTAATATGAACAATAATTGAAATATAGCTTTTTTTCTTTGATAAAGAAATCTATAAAAGTACGTTATTGATGAAATACCTTTACTAATACACTGTCTACCCATTCGAACTTTCCACCGGCATTCAAGCATTTATCTTGTTCAACGAAAATCGACAAATTTCTCAGCTTCGACTCGATATCTAGTAGCTCCAGTTCGCGAGAAGATTCCCAAAGCTTCATCGACGACACTAATTTCGACAATTCCTCGATTTTATGTAAGAATAATTTCGTTTCTGCAGCCATTGTTCTACCGGCAACGTTTTCATCTAGCGACAAATGAACGAGTAATAAGATCTTATTTAAATAAAAAAAAAAAATAGATTTCTTCGTTTGCCATTAAAAAGAAAACCTTTTCTAGTGATCTTGTTTTAATTACCAAATAAGTGTCGCACTTGCTCCAGATGTTCATGAAGTTCGGTAACCTGCTCCAATTTGTCATCAGTTATCTTCGTTTGCAGACTTTCTATAAGTAAAGTCGTTACGTCCTCAAATAGTTGTTCAAGATGTCGATTATAGTCAGTCTGAAATAATGAGAAAAAAAAAACGATTGATTGTCTTTATAACGAATTATTATAAATAACCTTATCAAAGGGTAAAATATTATTATTATGAACATTTTTAAAAGAACTAAATAAACTGAAACACCGCCGTGAATTCGCAATAAATATGAAATGACATTGTAAACAGTCGCACGTTATTCGTTAAAAAGTTATTGATAAAAGAAGTATGAAAAAAATGTTTCTTTTCTACAATGTATAGAACAAAAATTCTCTGTTTTAAGATACAATAGATTTCTTGCTTTAAAAACACAAATTTTCTTTGAAAACGTTACATTTTCATATAATTTTTGTTTTTATTTAGTAGCACTCAACTTTTCGAGTATAATTGTATTTTTCCACATAGATTTTTTAATTCTATAAAATACTTTACTCAATATTATTACTAATAGGATACATTTTACTCATAATATCACAAAACGCTTCTCTCAATTCTTCTTTTAAATGAATAAATCCTTTTAAATAAAAATTCAGCGAAATAAAATTTATAATATTTCTCGCGTATTCCGTAACAAGAAATTACACTACGCATATCGTGCTATATCCTTTCGATATTTTGTGTATGACATGCACTTATAGGATCAACAAAATTTTGTAAATGGTTAACAGTAACATGAATGTAATTATGCTGACTCAATGACAAGTATTCACACTAACAATCGCGAAAAGTCGCTTCGCAAGAAAAGTCAAAACTTATGTCACTTCCCGCAAAAAGTCGTGCATCTCCTTTACAGGGGAGTAGTGAAGTGAGAGTCGCTTCGCGTGGAAAGTTATATTTTCTTAATCAGTTGACCCCATATCTCTCTGGGTATCCGATCTAACTTTTTATGTATAAAACAGGGAAATAATTACTAACTTTGACTGTTAATAATTTTTTACTAAATAAAAACAAAAATTATATGAAAAAATAACGTTTCCAAAATTTGTGTTTTTACAACAGGAAATATATTTTAAAATAAAAAATTTTTGTTCTATATTGTAGAAAAGAAACATTATTTTTTCATATTTTTTCTATCATAACTTTTTAACGAATAACGGAGGACAACTAAAACTTGTTGGAGTCAACAGGGTCAATTTTGACATATGTCAAGGTCAAGATCATCGGGGCTGGCTCCTCTCATATTCATAATTACCAAAATTTTTAAAGAAATGGCTCTTTGATAAATACATTAGAATTTAGTTAACATTAATATTAGATATTTGTTTCACTTACTTGTTCAAAGCTACCTAATATCTCTGTAGTATCCATTGCAGAATTTACAGTAATGGATCTCAATTTCTGGCCTGTTAAAGCAGCAAGTAAACGAACAACACTGCTTTTCCCACTTCCCGAAGTACCAACCTGTAATAGTAATTTGATTTTATTAAAATTAGCTAAAGATGAGACTAATAGAAAGATCAAGATACAATATTTATAAATAAACATACAAGTATGGACATCCAATTCATTTCAACGCACTGCACGAGACTCTTCAAAGCTCTTTTCTGATCTCTAAGTACTAACAAATTGAAGTCCTGGGGCTCACTGCAATTTTTCCGACTTAACACCACGTCACCGATGGAAAATTTGTCTGCCGTGATGTACGTGGGCAGTTGATTAGGTGGAAGAGGATATTTCTCGAGTGAAAACATTTCTTGATATATCTGATAGACCTGCAAAATAAACCCAAAGTATGAATAGCGCGATATATAATAAAATATTAGAATTCAATATATTTTATTTTAAAATAAACATAAAAGCGATTTTTTCAATACTATTCTATAATTTTTCTCTCCGTTATTTATCGCTGTTCTTACTACTTGATATTTTGAATATAATTTTATAACAATGATCGATTCACCTTTTGTCGATCTTCATAAGTTCTCATTCTGTTAACATAAATAAGTTCTACACCGTCACCTGGATTAAAATATTGTTTATTGTTGCAAAATTCATTAGAAGCTGCTTTGATAGTGATCTCACACCATCGGATAACATCTCGTAGATTCATTTCCCATGGAGAACCAGTATGTCCCCATACGATGCCAGCTTCTGATGCTAATTTACTATTGAATTGCACCATATGATTGATCAATTCTATAGGAAGTGATGGAAATTGCATACGGAGTATAAACTTCAAATCATCTTCCATTAATGTAGCTACAGAAATCTGCAATAGATCTCGGATTACAGAAATGATTTTCGTAGCATTGTTTCATGCATGTTCAAAATATTATGTACCTGAGTAAATCTATTTAAAAATGATCTTGGTAAACCTCGTCTGGCTCCACCTTGCCGCAAGGGATTTTGACAACCAAACAACTTTGTACCAGGTTTGACTAAAAATGTCTTTCCTAACTCGGGAATGTATATTTCTCCTCTATGATCAAAGCATGCATTAAGTCCTTCCAGAACCGATTGCGAGGCTAGATTTAATTCATCGAGCAGAATCCAATATCCGGCACGCAAAGCTCGCAAAAATGGACCATCGCGCCATGCAAATTCACCACCTTTCCCGCCTTCTACAGGAAGATCGGCACCAAACAAATCGGATACATCCTATAAACACACAAGAAACACGTTAGAAACAATGTTATTTAATTTCTGATAAAAGAAGTTATATTTCCGATAAAATAAGTTGTATATTTAAAATTTGATAACAATAAACTTATGCACCGTTTCGTAATACCGTTTGATCGCTTAAGTTGATTCTGAGCAAAGTATGCCCTGTAGCTTTCGCGAGTGCAGAAACTAGACTTGTTTTCCCTACGCCTGGACTTCCTTCCAGAAGAATAGGTTTATTCAACTGCAATGCTCTTAGCAGTTTTAATGTATTCAATTTCGTAGTAGGAGTAAACGTAAATGCATGATTTTCGCAGGTATGTGGTCCCTTTTTAATATAAAACGGTAATATCCCGAATTTGTCTGAAGCATTTACAACATCTTCATTTATCACAGGAGTTTCCATATCAAGTTCAGGTTTAATTGTATTTTCAATTTCCAACTTAATAAATCGGAGAGCAGCCTCTGTAAAATCTTGTAATTTGTTGATACTGGAAACAGATAACAACCAATTCGAAACATTGAAACTTTTATATATATATATATATTGTATGTATGTACATCAAAATAAATAAATATTCATAATAAAACTAGCTTTAGCGCGAGAACATCTGTTAAATATCATGAAACTTAAAACTAAGTTAAATAGTTATGTACAAAATTAAAATATCAGAATTTGAACAACTAAAAATTAATACACGTAACGTGTATTTATATGAGTCTTCGCAACTGTTAATGCGTATAATATATATTCATATATTCATTCAAGTATAAACTACTTGTATATACTACTTATCTTTCGAATTAAAAAGGACTTAAATCCAAAGTCGAAACGTTTTCTATTAACTTCGTTTGATAAAGATATTAAAAGTGTTTCTAAATTATATCTTATCTTATATCATATAAATATATAATTTATATGATATACTATAAGACAGTCATTAATAATCATAAATAATTATTTGAACAAAAGTCTTAATATAAGTCATAATATTATTTTAATTATATATAGGATGTTTTATATGTCCAGGACTGGCTGAATACCTCGGAAAGTATACACTTTTGAGAAAGATGTTTCAGACAAAAGTTGTAGGGCTTAAAAAGATCTATTTATTGAACTTATCAGTTTGACTTTGGGTGGCGTCGCCAAGATCAAGTCAAGGTCACATTGACTTTTTTTAAATGAAACACCCTATTTTTGATTTCAGAATCTAATAGCTGGTGTCAAGAGCTTTTCAAAACACTATAATGAAGTCATTTTTCATTAAGTACTTTCCGAATTATGAGAGTTCAATGTTAGAATACCGCTGACATTGGCATTACCCAAGGTGTGTACCGCGTATAGATCGCCCGATCGGATTTACACCACTTTTGTGTGTGTGTATGTGCGCGCGTGTGTAACGCAGGACCCTGGGGTTCTTCACTCCTCCAGTATTTTTTGACTCCAACTTGTCTCAATTACACAGAGACAACTTTTTCTGAAAATTGTGCCATTTTTTATAAGCAAGAAACGTTACAAAAGAGAATTTGCAAATAAACTCAGCTTGAAAAGAAAGAAAACAACACTTTTAAGGAAAAAAGCTGTAAGAAAAAAACTGAAGATCGAAGAGAATTAAGTCGATTAATTGAATCAGACAGAATCCGTATTGCCAGACTATTGACGGTGATTACTTAAATTATGATAAGTTGCGATTAATTACACGTAATTGAAAAACTCCCTTTATTGTGGTAAAAATTCAGAGTAGATAAATCTCAGCCACCTATTAACATGTTTATAAAGTTCGAATGTCGCGCGGGTAATAGACGAGATTGTGGAGTAGTGATAGTAATATGCAAAAACCGTGTATGAGTTCGCATACATGATGGACGCGGTTTTCTTGTGTACAATTATTTCCTCTATTCCGATTGCGTCTTCTTTCTGGTATCATACGATTAGGGAGATCTTCAAAGATCTTATTACAAAGACAAATAGATATTTACTGAAACTTTCAGAAGAGAAAATGATATATCAAGGTTTGGAACGTACAACAAAACATTAATGTCAATATCGGCGATACTCTAATATTGAACTCTCATAATTCGGAAAGTACTTAATAAAAAATGACTTTGTTATAATATGTTTTGAAAAGCTCACCAACTATTAGATTCTGGAATAAAAAATAGGGTGTTCCATTGTAAAAAAAAATCGACATTACCTTGACTTGACCTTGACGACGCCACCCGAGATCAAACTGTAATATCAGTAAATAGGTATTTTTAAGCCCTATTAACTTTTGTCTGAAACATCTTTCTCAAAAGTACATACTTTCAAAAATATTCAGCCGGTTCGGGACACTGTGTATGTATATTACTTTATTATTTTAAACAATATTAAATTTAAAATAATTATTAAATAATTATAAATGTTAAATAATTATTATTTTAATTAAAGAAATTCATTTTATATGTTAAAACACTCTTACCTTTCTGAACCTGTGGAACTACATCCAAGACTATCAATGTACGTGAGACAAGCACCATGATAGTACGCCTTTCCGATCGATAGTTTCGATAAGGTGCTAGCGGTTGACACGTTTATAAAATTCACCCAAGTGAGCACATCTCGTATGCTCACAGTAAGCTTCTTGCCCACTTCGGTAGCTTGTAACCATTCAGTGAATCTCAATATTGCATTGGCGATAGGCTCTTTCGTTGTTTCCAAATCAGTGCGAAGATTATGTATTATTATATCGCGTAGATCATTCCTGGCCATGCAACCCTCACACCACACTTCAGTGAAGCGATTTCGCAAGGCCGGCGAGAGCTCCTTCTTACCGTAATCACCACCGGGATTCATCGTCCCAACAAATATGAATTTTTCGTCAGCCGTGATCACGGTGTTCTCTTCACCGTGCAAAGATTCTATTCCTTTCTCAGCTAATAGAAGACTACGCTCCGGCTCTATACAAAAAGATTTAATATATCATAAATAAACTTCATAATAAGATAGACTGACCTCGTAAATCTTTTTTACATATAATCATGTACACACACATAGACACGTACATGATTTGTAGTTGACGTCTCTGGTTTCTACTCATACTTACCTAAAAGTGAATTTAATCGTTCCAAAACACTATCATCAGCCAACGAAATTTCGTCAGCTAAGAATAGATCGCCGTTACGCATAGCATCTATCAAAGGGCCGTCCATCCACTCGAAGAGCTTTTGATTATTTTCGACATGATCTCGAACAGGTCGCAAATTTCCCAGAAAATCGGACGATTCGGTGTGCATATGGCAGTTCACGCCCCGCATAGCTTGGCCATTGATAGCTGCGATCAATTGACAGACTGTGGTTTTGCCTCCACCCGTTTCTCCGACCAGCAACACCGGTTCCTTGAACTGACAGGATTTCTTCATCAAAACCGCTATTCGGCGCATGTGATAAGTCCATACAATGTGCCTGAAACCGGAGATACCGTTCTTCAGGATCTCCTCCAAAATGTGCCTCGTAACTGGTGAAGTTTTGTCGTTTAACGTGAACAAGTTGTCGGGATCCACGTCCCTTTTTAAATGTTTTTTTATAACTTGTCGTATTTCGTCTGCTTCTTCTGCTTTGCGAACTTTAGCTGCGAGAACTAAGTAGCCTTCGTCTGCCAGATGTTGACTCCAATCATATAGTTTGTTACCTACGTCAGGCGCTAATCTATACCTTTCGCCCCAACGAAACAGATCTCGCAGAGTTATAAATCCCCTTTTACCGGCGAAAGCCGCCGTACTTTTGCGTCTTATTTGAAGATCGGTCATTACATTAATTACTTGCTTGCAGTACGATTCTGGCATACTGCATCTCTGATTGAGTATTATCTGCAATTCATTTGGCGGTATCTCGTCAAAGTGTAATTCTATAAATCGATTCCTGAATGCTCGTGACAAAACCTTTCGGCCGCCGTAGAGTCCGGGAGGATTTTGCGTCGCAAATAACATAAAATGTTCGTGCGCTTTCACTACCTGTTGAGTCTCAGGTATGAACAATTCCCTGTTGTCGTCGAGAACTCGGTTCAGAGCCTCCAGTACGTCACTCGGTGCTAAATTTAACTCGTCCAAAATAATCCAATATCCTTTGCGCATCGCATCAACTAGGATCCCTTCCTTGAATACTAATTTGCCAGTTTCATCTGCGATATAACTTCCGACATATTCTTGTAGATCTGTGTGCTCATGATTGTTTATACGGACGCAGACGTGTCCTGTAGTTTTCGCTAAATACGTAATCAAACTGGTCTTGCCTACCGATGTATCACCTTGTAACAAAATTGGAATTTTTCCAATTGACACGACTCTTACTAAATCTTTCAAATTTCTTCTAACGGAATCTGTCAAAATGTAGTTAGTAGGTATTTCGGGCGTTAAACTGCCTTGCAAGACCCAGTACCCCTCAATATATATGTAGTCTTCCCCTGGGCTGCACTTCGGTTTAGGTATAGGAATGCCAAGAATTTCTTTAATGTTCTTGTTGTTGAGGATAGCTTTCGCGATCATTTTTTGTACAATCGGATAAGAATTGTAATCCAGTTGCGTCAGGAAACTCAAAGAAAAGGATTCGTATAAGGATCTCAAGACATTACTACAAGGATTTGATGCAGAAATGTACAACGCGCGACACAGTGTTCTCAAACTGTAATGCGGTTTATGGGCTGTGCCATCGAACAATGTGCTCATAGCTTCCTTCCTTACGTTTAAATAAAACTTGACAATTGCTTTATGCTTTTCCGGTAAATTTAATTCAGCCAGGTAAGAACTTACGAGCAACTCGAGATCCGACTGCTCGGTCAACTCATCGACGTAAAACTCGGTGAATCTATTTCTCAAACCAACCGGCAGGTCTCTCTTGCCGACATCCGTAGCCGGATTCATGCAGGCGAACACTGTAAAATCAGGATGTCTTTTCACGGGTTCTCCATCACCGCGCTCCAGTAACGACAAAGACTCCGAGGAGCCTTCCAACAAACCGGAAAGACATTCCAATGTTTCTGCGTTTGCCAAATTAATCTCGTCTAAAAGAACCCAATAACCGTCTCGCAAAGCCCTGACCAAACTGCCCTCTATGAAGGAGAACGCCAGTGCATATTGACTCTTTACTTGAGCTCTCAGTTTGTCTAGTTTCTCCAACATCTTTTCCCACTTCTTCAACATATTTAAATCATCGTCCTGGTCAGATTTCTTTTGAGCTTTTTTGTTTTGTCCGAAACGTTCCAAAATGTCTTTCCTAAATGTATTATCCTCGAAGTACTTTTCACACTTAGTTCTCAATCTCTTCACAGCAGTCTGTGCACTGTGACTCATCAAAATAACAAGATTTTTCCACTTTTGTTGCTTATGACACGAAGCAATACGTTTAAGAAACTCTTTATTTGGCTCAATTATGAAGTAAGAACGGAACAGAATCTCGAACTCCTCCCGGATAGGCGAGATCAAGAACTTCAGATCGACTGGTTTATAACCACCTAACAAATCCGCGCTTTCGCTTTGTTGATTCATATTTATAACTACCAATTTGTGACCAGTGCTCCTCGCTAAATATTGAATTGAACTTGTTTTTCCAGTACCAGTCTCACCGACCAACAGCACAGGTTCCTTTTGCTTGATGCAGATAGCTATGCGTTCCAGTAAACATGCAGAAGGCCTTGTAAAGGAAAAGTTAATCTTCTCTATATCTATTCTCGCGTATTCTGCCTTTTTACGAGTCAGCTTTGCTCTGCCTGCTACCAGAAGATCAGGAAGTAAGTCTATGAACGGTTTATGCTTATTGCAAAAGTGCTCTGCCTTCTCCCTTATAATGCCAAGTTTATCAGTTATCTTCTTCGCCAAATTCAATCGCTGCTCTATAAAGGATAATATAATTAATGATATAATATTTAACTGAAAACATTTTTTAATATTTTAAAAAATAGAAAACCAAAATGTTTATAAATATTTACGAATGTATTTGTATATATGATTGATAGGTAAAAAAAGACCAGAACATATTTCATATACTGTAATAAAATTAAATATAAGGGAGAAACTAATACCTTGATTAGACACTGAGCAGCAAAAGACATCTAGAGCATCTTGAAATATTTTCAATAGAGAATCTGGTGATGAAACAACAAAATCAACAATAGCTCTGGAGCACCACTTTATTAAATCTCGTGTTGACATCTGTCTTCCAATCTTCAGGGACAGTGTAGCGTCACATGCGTTACTTCCACTATCATAATCTCCCACGGAAAACAACAAAAATACATCTATTATTTTAGTGGCAATTGAATTCAATACTGGAAACAGCGTTTGGACTACAATCACTAATTCATCCGTAGACAAAGGCTCCATATTTAGGCATAGCCAATGTTTTTGCAACAAACTCGAGGATCCTGTGACATGTTTTTGAATTCCAGTAACAGACATCATTAATCGCTGAGTAACAAACAATTGGAATCCACTGTTGACATAAATAGTATCGCGGTATCCAGGTACGCAAAGTGTTCCAGTTTCCATCAAATTGCTCAGAACACTAGCTACATCGAGGGCAGCACTATCCACATCCTCCAAGAGTAACCACTTACCAGCGATAACCGCTTGTGTGAGAACACCTGGTTGCCAAACAAATTCACCAGGTACATCAGTGCATCTATACATTCCCAGTAACATCTTTGAGTCAGTCTGATCACCTAATTGCACTTTAATGAAGTTTGACGAGTCATGTCCAGTAACTCTGGCTAAATACTCTACCAAAGCTGTTTTACCGCAACCAACTGGTCCTTGCAGGCAAATGCATTTTCTAGAGCCTATAGCTATGGCCAAACTTTGCAGATTTTTTTTCATGGAGGAAACTGGAACTAAATTATAAGTGCTATGAGTCTTGCCAAGAGTAGGTAATAAAATGCCACCAACAGATATTATAGATGAGATATTTTTAACTGTGTCTTCCATCGATTCAAAGCTGACACAGATAATACTAGTATCTACGCTTTTGTCTTCATAATCAATTAAAAATTTTCCGAAGTTTAGAATGAGTGTTTTTAACCATGATAACCTTGTTGATTCAGACATGTTCAAAACTATTGCTATACATTTTAAGGCAACCCTGAAATCAAATAACAAATTTCTTACTTTCCAGCAATTATAGATAAATAAAACATATTAAGATACATTACATATCATTTTGAAAAAAATGTTTATTATTGAATTTCTATTGGTATTTTATATTAGTATTTTACTGTTAAGATTTTATTAGTAAGTTTATAATGTACTTACCATTTTACTCTGTCATCTGCATTTGTTAAATACTTGTAAAATTTAGACCAATTCCATTTATGCTTAAAATGGCTAACTGCAGACTGCAAAATACTATGACATGCGATAACAATATCATGGTCAGATACTTCTGAGATACGTGAAAATTTTCTTCTGTTTTGCCTTTTTACAGGTATAAGTGTATCAAGAGAATCATCAAAAAGTTCGAATGGAGCTGGATTAACATCAAAGTAGTGTAAAACATAGCTGAAACAAAAGAAAATAATATTTTGTAATATAAATTAATTGTTCCTTACAATAAATAAAGAACATTAATTATTAACATTTAAAAATTAAATAACTAAGAGTTAATTATATAATAAATTTTGTTATTATATAAAGTTTAAAAATTGTATACAACACAGAACACATATTTATCAATATACATTTTGATACAATATTAATGTAATAAAAACTTACATCAATAAATCTTGATTAACATCAAGTAGCTTTCCTAATATGACACAGTTCAATTTATGAATAATATCCTTGTCTCTTGATGCTGATGACTGTATATTTTTTATAGGTATGGCTATAGAAATAAGAGCTAGTAACAATTCTGGAAAACACTCAACAACATCTTTTGTGCACTCTGGTTGCATCAAAAATTCACATAATATTTCTAAAATTGTATCCGGCTTAAGTTCACTAAATTCCTGTAAAAAAAATAAATAATTAAACTATATCTATTATAAACATATAAAATTTCCTAAGAATTAAAATTAATAAATAATAATTAGAAAGATCTGCAGAAAAAGCAACATAAAAATAGTCATATTTACTTTAAAAAGTAAGAATCTCTGTTTATATTTTTTATCTCGTTCACAGAAAATTGTTAAATTCTCAGTTGACATCTTGCATGTTTTATGTGAAAGTTTATGAAAATGTAGAACACAATATCTGAACAAGAAAATAAGACAGATCACAATGTGTAGAAAACACGTGGTGTGTGTGCTCCTATCGCACGAAATATTTTCTTTCAAATTATCTTTAACCAGAGAGAAACCTGAGAGAGGACATGACGGCCTTTTACCTGTAACCGCAAAATGCTGCCGCGCACTACTGCCCTCTGAAGAAGTGGATGTAAACTACACAACAATATCCATCTTTTTGCGGCACTCCTGGTGTATAAATAAATCGCTGAAATCGTTAAAATAACTTAAATCTATCAAATTAATAAAGATTTTAACGCATCCGGCAGGAATTCGGCATATGCCTGGCTCCTGATTGGTCACTGCATACATGGAGCCTTAGCTTATCTATTCATAACTTTATTTCTTTATTTAAAATCTAACTTTAAGCCATTGGGCGAGTTCAAGACGGCAAAGCGGCTAGGTATGCTTGCCGAGCGATTGAATATAATTGGTTATTACTTATAGATCCAACCAATCATACTCGATCGCTCGGCAAGCGTATGTACCTAGCCACTTTTTATATACCACCACACTACGGATGCGGTCGAGTAGTGACCCTCTAATAAGAGTCTGGCCACCTTCTCCCCGGTTTGTGATTGGTCCGACATTTATCATCCATTCCCGCAAATTTCTTTAAATTTATAAATTGTAAAAATTAATAAATTCGTAAAAATTAAAGTAGAATCAATTACAATTTTTATTTTTATTATTATTTAACTTATATTAACATTATTAAATATTTTCTATAAAAACTTTTATGTAAAAAAAACGTTGCAATATGTCTTTCATAAAATAAAAACAACAATTAAGTAAGTATTATAAATA